AAATGTTGTTAAATGACTACTAATATTTGTGTTGCTCTAAAACTTAAAATTAAATATATTTGATGGTTTCAATATCCATGAGACTTTTGGTAAATTTCTATACATGCATCAAGTGGGACTTTACCACGGTATTGGAAAGGTGTTGAGCTCTTACATGGTGACGTGGGTTCGAACTTCATCGATGGCTAATCTAACAAAATCTATCATTTGAACCAAAAAATAAAAAAATCTATACATGCATGAGAGCCTTGATTACTGCCTCAATTATAATCTAAACATCATCTCTTCAAGTTTGTATGGTAAAACGATGTTAGGGGAGAAAAACTTCCTTTCTTAAGGGAGGAGGGAAGTATTATCTGATGTGGAAATAAGCTCAAGCTTATGATTAGCTAAGGGCTGGTTTGGTATTGCTGTGCTTGAAAAAAACTTTTGCTGTGCTGTGAGAATAAGCTCATTTTTTGCTACTTCACATTTTCAGTTTTTTTTTTTTTTTCACCAAAAACTAGGAAAATAAGCTGTTTTAAGTGTTTACCAAACACCTTTTTGAGCTCAACTTTTTTTTATACCCACTTTTTATAAAAGCACCTCAGTAGCAAACTTGTACTAAGTTGAGCTGGAATAAGCCACAAATGACCCAAACTTGAAGCATACGTATCCAATTTTTCAGCCTTAGATGTAAGCAATGAACTTGAAAGTGAAAGAAAATCACTCAGCTACAAGTAAATTACAATCTGACACATGTACGTGCATTCATTTTTTTAACTAGTTAAGCTATGAGATGCCTGAGATTGTGATTTGCAGGTTACAATCTTAATACAAAATTGTAAATTAACACCACCTTTTATAACCTAATCCCTTCTACTTTATTTCTTAGTTAATTTATCAATTTACCTTCATTTTATAATTTGGTTTACCAGTTTGTTATCCATTGGGCTCTAGTTTAGCTTGTGTGTTACAATTGGGTTCAGACCATTTTGACCTTGTTTCCAATGGGCCTATAGGCCAGCTCGTTGCCTCTGTAGTTAAACTTCAATCATTATTTATTTTTCTTTCATTTTCTCTTTCCACCATCGTATTTTCACGAATTCATTTTTTTTAAGGAGGAAAGTGTTGGTAAGTTATGGTTATTTCTTCTTTCTGGGTCTAGAGAGGCTATAGGGAATTTTACCCTGCCTGTGGCCACATTGCAATTCTTTTCAATTTGTACTTTTTGTTCACTTAATGCAATTGTTATAATTTTCATTCGGTTTGTTTATACCATACTTAGGATCTCCGTATTTAGATATCGTACAAATACTCAGGGGACTTAAATGTAATTATGTAATAAAGGAAGGGGCAAATATGTAATAAGTGATGAGCCCTTATTCTATAAAAGGACTCCTCACCCTCACAATTAGAAAAAGACCATTTCTTAAGGCTCCTTCATCCTCTCAAAGCTCTCACATTACAGAGCTCCCTCACTCCCCTCACCTCTCAGATAAATACATAATCAGTGTAGACGTAGCCCAAACCTTGGGCTGAACCACGATACATCTTGTGTTATTTACATTATTTGCAGATTCATGGTCGGATTTACGTTGTTACAAGACCTCCGATTTTGTGCATCAACATTTGGCGCTGTCTGTGAGAATCGACACCAAAAGTTATGTCGGTTCTCTTTCATTTTTTCACTTCTGTCGTGAATCTGCAAAATCACAAAAAACTCAGAAACCCATTAACCTTTCTCTCTCTCTCCCTTCAGTCGTAGTCAGTACTAGCACATTTTCCAATCTGAATCCATACTTGGGGGTCAAAGAAATCAAAATCCAAAAATCAATTGAGAGAAATTTAGAGAGAGGGAGAGAGAGAGAGAGAGAGAGAAAGTGTGAGTGAGTGAGAAAGATGAAGTCCAACCCCTCAACCTCGGTCAAGCTTTTACTGACATGATGTCTTTCAGTTGTTTACGTTGCAGAAGATTTTGATTTCTTCTACTTTGTCCAGCAATAACCCAGATCATATTGTGACACAAAGACAAGTTGCTGCTATCCAACAACAGTGAAGCCTGCGGCTGATTTCGGCAATCATGGGCTTTGGCCGAAATCACAATAACAGCAGCAATGCCTCCAACAAAGAGGGTAATCATGGACACTCAACCCGGAAAGTTGAACAGCCGATCAAATTCCATATCCGACCCGACCAAAAAGATTCTCGCCTTCTGTACGTCGGGCCTTCTCTTCTCATCAGCAAACAGCGACCAGAAAATGGCACCACCATTTACCGCTGAAGACAGCCGATCCAAGGACCTCGACAAGCTACTCCTTCGCGCCGGCAATCTCGTCGGACCCACCTTCGAACCTAGCCCCGGACTGCGAGATGATCTCAAAGAGTACGCCAGAGTTTTGGTGGTCGGGGCTGGTGGGCTGGGCTGCGAGCTGCTCAAAGACTTGGCTTTGTCTGGCTTTCGGGAGCTCGAAGTCATAGACATGGATCGTATCGAGGTTTCCAATCTCAATCGCCAGTTTCCTCTTCAGCTCAGTCAGCTACAAGTGTAGTCCAGGCAGGCACAAAAGAGATCACTACTAAGTTGTATATGGAATCTATTCAAGATTTGCCTGCACCAGAAAAGATTAATATTCCTATTCACGAGGACCCGAAGACTGGTGGGGCTTGACCCACAATGGCAGTGTTCATGAGCTTTTGAAGCGTGATTCCAGCTGCATCCTATTGCATAAAAAAGAAAGCAAAAGCAGTGAAGGTAAAGCAGGTTCCTTTAAACACACAGCTAGAAAGTAGTCTGGCGACCATGATGATAAAGGAATTCAAACATTTAAATGCCAAGCTGTTTGCCATCCCACTACAAGGTCCCAGCAGCAACCAGGCCGAAAGCAAAAGCAAAATAGAGGGTCGGATTTATTTTTGAATGATTTAATTTATTTTTCTTATCTGTTGGAGACATATGTATAAACCCCATCAGAGGGTAATAAAAAAAAAGGGCAAAGCCCAAAATAAATGGGCTGGAATGTTGTGTAGAGGGCGAAGGCCCATAAGCCTAAAACAGCTCCAACCAGGCGATCAAAAGTACGCCCAGTACTCCACAATTATTCGGCAACCCGCCGCTATTATCGCCAACCAGGTGACCAAAAGTACGCCCAGTACTCCAAAATTATTCGGCAACCTGCCGCTATTACCACCAACCAGGTGATGAAATGTACAACCCGTACTCTAATATCATTTGGCAACTAGCCATTCATGCCACCAACTAGGTGATGAAATGTACAACCCGTACTCTCCTTCTTGCCACCAACCAGGTGATCAAAAGTACGCCTAGTACTCCAAATTATACATGAGCATTACTCATGTCATTCATACATAAACATTCATGAGCATCACTCATGACAATCATACATAAACATTCATGACCATCATTCATGTCAACATTCATGAGCATCACTCATGTTAACATTCATGAGCATCACTCATGACAACATCCATGAGCATCACTCATGTCAATTAACATAAACATTCATGAGCATCACTCATGTCAATCAGCTTCAAAAGCTTCATTTACAGAGCTCTAGCTTCAAAAACTTCATTTACAAAAGCTCTAGCTTTAAAAGCTTCGTTTACAGAGCTCCAGCTTTAAAGCTTCACTTGCAAAGCTTCACTTACAAAGCTTCAGTGTAGGGTATACAAATACCACCTCCGAACAACCACCACTTTGGCCCATACATGGATTCAATTTGAAGTCTCCAGCCAACAGACTCTATTGACCTAAGACTTGGGGGACTACACTATACACCATATATTGGGCCTCAACTGGGCCTCATGAAAAATACTTGGGGGACTTAGCCCATTATTTATGTATTGAGGAACGAACCCTTATTCTATCAAAGGGACTCCCTCACTTTCATTAGAAAGCACCCATCACTTATGTATTAAGGAGCGAGCCCTTATTCTATAAAAGGGACTCCCTCACCACCATTAGAGAGCATCGCCGCCTACTGAGCAACCGCCTCGCCATGAGCATCAACTCTAGCCCATCATTTATGTATTGAGGAGCAAACCCTTATTCTATAAAAGGGACTCCCTCACCTTCATTAGAGAGCAACGCCGCCAGCTGAGCAACCGCCTCGCGGCGAGCATCACTCCTAACCCATCACTTATGTATTGAGGAGCGAGCTCTTATTCTATAAAAGGGACTCCCTCACCACCATTAGAGAGCATCGCCGCCTACTGAGCAACCACCTCGCCGCAAGCATCAACTCTAGCCTATCATTTATGTATTGAGGAGCGAGCCCTTATTCTATAAAAGGGACTCCCTCACCATCATTAGAGAGCATCAACTCTAGCCCATCATTCATGTATTGAGGAGCGAGCCCTTATTCTATAAAAGGGACTCCCTCACCTTCAACGCCACAAGCCGAGCCAACCAAGTGTCACGGGCCATGTGTTAAAAACAAAGAAAATGCCCAAGACATCATATATCTAAGCCCATGAAGCCATGTCTTCATGGAAGCTTCTGGAACGTCCCGGAGAAATCAAGAACGTGGTGGAGCATTCAAGATAATCTAGGGCATTCCGGAACATTCCACACAAGTGTACATATTTAAGCCTCACCTAGAATAATCTAGATTAGGCAAGTTGTATCTAGAACTATGCTAGATATTTTTGGATGTAAGTAGGGGATTCTAGAACCCTCCATTGAGGAGGTGACTTAGGCCTATAAATAGGAGGTAAGGCCATTTGGCCAAACCATCCAAGAATTGTAAGCAATTGTAAAGTTCTCTTAAGTTTCAATACAAAGCTTCCTTTCTTCCATCTTCTAAGTGATTTTAGCATTCTCCAAGCTATCTTAGCTTTCTTTGTGATTCGATCCAGGGAAGTGAGGCTTCGAAGGCTTACTTAGCTTGTTCATCGAGGTATTCAAGTCTAAGTGCCGCACGGGCGGAAGGCTTAAAGAGTCATCCCGTGACAGCTGGTATCAGAGCCAAGCTCGTGAATCACTTGAAGGAAAGTAGGATATGGCAAGTGGAGAGATGGTGTCCGGAGTCTCCGATCTAAGGGAGCGTACTGCCGAGGTCCAAGACGTTGCCAAGAGCAAGCCAAAGTTAAAGGACTTGCAAGCATCGATGGAGACCATGGAAGAGCGACTCGAGAAGGTGGAACGAACCATACTCGAGTTCGATACTCGACTTGATGAGGACGTTGTCGACAAGGAGGAAATCCAAACCATGGTGGACAATGGAAAGGATGAATTACGTGGCTTGGTGGAAGGGCTACGAGATGAGCTCTTTGGCGCTCTCAACACCATGGCAGACAAGATGCAGAGGGAAGTCCAGGTTCACCTTGACAACATAGAGGCAAGGTTTGTGGCGCTTCAAGAAGAGATAAAGGACACAAGGGAACTTAAGGGAGATGTGGCGTTTTGTAAAGAAGCAGTCGTGAAGCAATTCGTGCAAGGGCCGAGGGAAATCAAGGCGTTGGACTCCAAGGTAATCGATTCATTTAAACCCAAATCCTATAATGGGAAGAGGGAAGCAAATGAGCTCGATACATTCGTGTGGAACGTGGAGCGATACTTCAAGTACCTGAAGCTTGAAGATGACGAGTCCAAAATCTCAACGGCAACCATGTTCTTAGCTGACAATGCCCTTATGTGGTGGCGTCGTCGGAGCATGGAGATTGAGCAAGGTACGTTCTCCCTCACCACTTGGGATGAATTTAAGAAAGATCTTATGTTGCACTTCTATCCCCAAAATGCCAAGTACGAAGCCAAGGAGAAACTAAGGTGGCTCAAGCAAACGGGGAGCGTCAAAGACTATGTCAACGCCTTCGTGAGCTTGTTATTCGAGGTGCCCAACATGTTAGAGGAAGACAAGCTCATGTACTTCATGAGTGGACTGCAAAATTGGGCAAAACTCGAACTACAAAAGAGACACGTGCAAACATTGTCTGATGCCATTGCCGCTGCCGAATCCTTGATTGAGTTTAAATCAAGCCACCAAGGTGATTCCAAGTCCACAGGGAAGAAGGGTAACCATGAGAGAAGTGGGGGAGAACATAAGCCGAAGGACAAGGCCGATACAAGCAAACCGAATGAGAAGAAAGCCGATAAGCATGACAAAGGCAAGGGTAAGTCTTGGCAACCCACTTGTTACCTATGCGACGGCCCTCACATGATGCGAGATTGCCCACAAAAGAAGGCCCTTAAGGCCATGGCTTTCAAGGAGGACAAGGCCGAAGAGAGTAACGATGCAACGATGGGATGCATCCGTCTACTGAATGCCATCCAGACAACCCTCCCACAACCTAAGGCTCAAGTTGGGGGAGGATCATTGTTCGTCGACGTCAAGACTGGTGACAAGACGACGCGTGTGTTGGTGGACACGGGAGCAACACACAACTTCATGACGTCGGAGGAAGCCACAAGGCTTGGCCTCCGAGTCACAAAGGAGCCTGGTAGCGTGAAGACGGTAAATTCCACCGCCACCCCTATTGTTGGAGTTGCGCGTAATGTGCACGTAGACATTGGCATATGGAAGGGAACGATCGACTTCACCGTAGTCAAGATGGACGACTATGGCGTAGTCATTGGGTTAGAGTTCATGGACAAGGTACGAGCCTTTCCCATTCCCTTCTACAATATCTTCTGTATCCTAGTCGACGGGAGACAACCTTGCCTGGTGCCATTGGAAAGGCAAGCCAAGAAGTGTACCCAACACTTGTCGGCAATTCAATTTGCCAAGTCTTGGAAGAAAGGTGAGGCCACATTTCTTGCAACCCTAATGTTGAATGAAGGGGAGGAGAAGTACGGGCCTTTGCCGAAACAAGTGGAAGACGTCCTTACGGAGTTTGCGGACGTGATGCCTAAGGAACTGCCAAAGAAGTTGCCACCAAGAAGAGAGGTCGACCATGCGATTGAGTTGGAGCCTGGTGCTAAGCCTTCCTCCAAATCACCTTATAGGATGTCGCCACCCGAGTTGGAGGAATTGAGGAAACAACTCAACGAGCTACTTGATGCTGGCTACATCCAACCCTCCAAGTCCCCATATGGTGCACCCGTCTTGTTCCAACGCAAGAAAGAAGGTAGCCTAAGGTTGTGCATCGACTATAGAGCATTGAACAAGATTACCATCAAGAACAAGTACCCACTTCCGTTGATCGCCGACTTATTCGATCAACTTGGTGAAGCAAGGTACTTCACAAAGTTAGATCTTCGATCGGGATACTACCAAGTGAGGATAGCCCCCTGGAGACGAATCGAAGACGACGATGGTGACCAGATATGGAGCGTTCGAGAGTATAAAGTCATGCCATTTGGTCTGACCAATGCCCCTGCAACATTCTGTACATTGATGAACAAGGTATTCCATCCTTATCTTGACAAGTTTGTCGTGGTTTACATTGATGATATCGTTGTCTATAGCAAGACATTGGAGGAGCACGTCAAGCACTTGCGCATAGTGTTCAAGACCCTTCGGGAGCATGAACTATATGTCAAGAAGGAGAAATGCTCCTTTGCCACAAAAGAAGTAGAATTTCTTGGCCACAAGATAAAGGAGGGGAAACTTATGATGGAAAAGGGCAAGATCAAGGCCATTCAAGAGTGGGAACCGCCGACCAAGGTACCAACACTACGATCCTTTCTGGGGCTAGCCAACTACTATCGGAGATTCATAAAAGGGTATTCAGCCATAGCAGCACCCTTAACAGACCTTCTTAAGAAGAACAAGGCATGGGAATGGACGGACCGATGTCAAGAGGCCTTTGAGAGGTTGAAGAAGGCCCTAATGGAGGAGCCTGTACTAAGGTTGCCCGACCTTAGTAAGCCATTCGAGTTGCACACTGATGCTTCCGACTTTGCCATAGGAGGAGTGTTGATGTAAGAGGGACATCCGATAGCCTATGAAAGTCGCAAGCTAAACAATGCCGAGAAGAGGTACACGACCCATGAAAAGGAGATGACCGCCATCGTCTATTGCCTTAGAGTTTGGAGGCATTACTTGCTTGGTACCCCATTCATCATCAAGACGGACAACGTTGCCACTAGCTACTTTCAAACCCAACAAAAGCTCACACCTAAGCAAGCAAGGTGGCAAGAGTTCTTAGCGGAGTTTGATTACAAGCTAGAGTACAAGCAAGGAAAGGAGAACGTGGTGGCCGATGCTCTAAGTAGACGAGTAGAGTTAATGGCTACGGTACTCAAGCCGCAAAGCCATCTCTCTCTTGGGCCGTGTCCGAGAAGGTTTATCACATGACGTCCAAGCCAAGAACATTGTGGAGTTTGTCAAGGATGGGAAGACAAGAAGGTTTTGGCTTGAGGACGGCTTGCTATACACCAAGGGCAAGCGGATCTATGTCCCAAAGTGGGGAAGCTTAAGGAAAGAAATCCTTAAGGAGTGCCATGACTCAATGTGGGCAGGACATCCTGGCACTCACCGCACGTTGGCTTTGGTGAGCGATGCTTATTATTGGCCACAAATGCGGGATGATGTAGATTCATACGTGAAGACTTGTCTTGTGTGCCAACAAGACAAAGTGGAACAAAAGCAACCGGGAGGACTGTTGGAACCACTTCCCACCCCATCAAGACCATGGGAATGTTTAACCATGGATTTCATCACACATTTGCCCAAGTCTGGTGGATGTGGATCTATCTTCGTCGTGGTCGATAGATTCACCAAGTATGCCACTTTCATACCCGCACATGTGGAGTGCACAGCCGAAGTAGCTGCACGCTTGTTTCTAAAGCACGTGGTGAAGTATTGGGGTGTTCCGAGGAGCATAGTCAGTGATCGAGATGCTCGCTTCACGGGTAGATTTTGGAAGGAGCTCTTCAAACTACTTGGCTCGAAGTTAGACTTCTCCACAGCTTTTCATCCCCAAACTGATGGACAAATGGAGCGGGTTAATGCATTGTTGGAGACTTATTTGCGGCACTATGTTAGTGCCAATCAACGAGATTGGGCTAAGTTACTTGATGTTGCCCAATTCTCTTATAACTTGCAACGTTCGGAGTCGACGGGGAAAAGTCCGTTCGAGTTGGCTATAGGGCAACAACCCTTGACCCCGAATACGGTCGTGACTGGCTACACGGGGAATAGTCCAGCCGCTTTCAAAACCGCTAAGGAGTGGCAATTAGCCCACGAACTTGCTCGAGCTCATTTGGAGAAGGCTTCAAAGAAGATGAAGAAATGGGCGGATCGCAAGCGAAGGAATGTGGAGTTCCAAACTGGCGACCAAGTCTTTGTGAAGCTCAATGCGTCTCAGCACAAGAGTACTCATGGCTTGCACAAGAGCTTGTTGCGGAAATATGAGGGACCATTCCCTATCATCAAGAAGGTTGGCAAAGCCGCGTATGTTGTGGAACTCCCACCCCGCCTCAAGTTTCACCCGGTGTTCCATGTGAGCAACTTGAAGCCTTATCATGCGGACGATGACGAACCAAGTCGAGGTGAGTCTCATCGAGCACCCCCTTTTATGACGGAGGCATTTGACAAAGAAATGGAGAGCATTAAAGCCAAGCGTGTCGTGGTGCGACCAAGACAACCAAAGCATGTGGAGTACTTTGTCAAATGGAAGGGGCTACCATACTCCGAAGCAACATGGGAGAAAGAGACGTCCTTATGGCAATATAAGGACTTGATTCAGACATTCGAGAGGCAAGAGTCAACGAGGACGTCGACGACTTAAGTGGGGGAGGATGTCACGAGCCATGTGTTAAAAACAAAGAAAATGCCCAAGACATCATATATCTAAGCCCATGAAGCCATGTCTTCATGGAAGCTTCTGGAACGTCCCGGAGAAATCAAGAACGTGGTGGAGCATTCAAGATAATCTAGGGCATTCCGGAACATTCCACACAAGTGTACATATTTAAGCCTCACCTAGAATAATCTAGATTAGGCAAGTTGTATCTAGAACTATGCTAGATATTTTTGGATGTAAGTAGGGGATTCTAGAACCCTCCATTGAGGAGGTGACTTAGGCCTATAAATAGGAGGTAAGGCCATTTGGCCAAACCATCCAAGAATTGTAAGCAATTGTAAAGTTCTCTTAAGTTTCAATACAAAGCTTCCTTTCTCCCATCTTCTAAGTGATTTTAGCATTCTCCAAGCTATCTTAGCTTTCTTTGTGATTCGATCCGGGGAAGTGAGGCTTCGAAGGCTTACTTAGCTTGTTCATCGAGGTATTCAAGTCTAAGTGCCGCACGGGCGGAAGGCTTTCATCCCGTGACACAAGGCAACATAAGCCACGAGCCGAGCAGCCTCGCAGCATGTGCTACTTCTAGTTGAGCATCATTTCAGATTGAGCACCTCATATCGAGCATCAGTTCAAGACAACAACTAGTTACTTCGGCCCACACATGGACTGAATTTCAAGTTTCCAGCCAAAAGACTCTCTTGACTGAAGACTTGGGGGACTACTGTTTATACCATACTTAGGGCCTCCGTATATAGATCTCGTACAAATACTCAGGGGACTTAAATGTAATTATGTAATAAAGGAATGGGCAAATATGTAATAAGTGAGGAGCCCTTATTTTATAAAGGGACTCCTCACCCTCACAATTAGAAAAAGGCCATTTCTTAAGGCTCCTTCATCCTCTCAAAGCTCTCACATTACAGAGCTCCCTCACTCCCCTCACCTCTCAGATAAGTACATAATCAGTGTGGACGTAGCCCAAACCTTGGGTGAACCACGATACATCTTGTGTTATTTACATTACTTGCAGATTCACGGTTGGATTTACGTTGTTCCAAGACCTCCGGTTTTGTGCATCAACATGGTTAATGAAGTTAATTAAATCACTCCAAGATTTTTTCTTTTCAAATTTCATATTTATAATAGCAAATATCGATTAACTACCAAAGAAGAATTAGAATGAAAAAAATAAGAATCATTCTCGTTCATGTTTGAAAAGTTATAGTACGAGAAATTGTTGTTGAGTGAGATGGGTTTGGGAATCATGGCCCTTCAAAAGCAAAGTGCATAATATATATGAACCTCAATCATGATACACAAATAATGTATCATGGACCCTAGAAACTCAGAGTACTTAACATTTAAACAAGAAGAAATAAAATAGCACTGCCTCTATCCTGGCACTAGGAGTGATATTGCCAAAATTAAATTAGAAGGAACATACAAAAACCAACCAAACTAATAACACTCCACAAAGTCACAACAAGAGAGCTAGAGTGGCTACTCCCATCACCAGTTGATGAGGGTTTGGTGGTACTTGCGGGGGTGGTAATTGTAGAGTTACCGTCGGAACCACCGGATGTTGATTTACCGTTGCCAGATGGTGCTGCGGTTGATCCTGACGCTACAGTCACAGAAAGCTTCATCCCCATCGTACAATGCCCAACCGAGCCACAAATGTAGTTATGAGTCCCAGCAGTCTTGAGGGGGATGGTGGTCGTTCCGCTGCTGTCACTTGTAATTGAATTTCCCACAGTGCAAGTTTTGTAGTCACTGTCAGTCACTTCGTCCACCGTGTGCCCACTTCCATAGTTGAACACTAACATGTACAAAAATTTAGGAAAAATTGACACAATCAGTTCAAACGTAAACCAAGTGGCAGTGCTGCTAGACTATAAATAATTCTAACACCACACACTAGTTAAATAAAATTGACCTGATCAATTATCTAAATTGATTATCTATACGAAATTCTCAAAACACGTATCTAGATTGAATGTTTGTACTTAATTCTCAAACTTTACTCATTAAACAAGAGCTCCCTTAATCAATAGTCTAGATTGAATCTATACGTAACTCTGAAACGACACATCAAAATAACACCTTATAAACATTATTTTTGAAGCATGTTCACAACAAATAATCAAAAGGGAGTAAGGATTTTACCCAGGCTGTCACCAACTTTAAAGGTCTTGCCACTAGTCCAAGTGCTATAATCCACACCACTAGCCCACCCAGAGGAGTCTCCAACGGTGTACACGGTGGCTAAGCATCTTGGCATCATGACCATGGCAACAACCAGGACTAAACCCACAATTCTGGCCATTCTCGATGAGCCAGCTACAATGAGAGAGAGAGAGAGAGAGAGAGAGAGAGAGGGAAGAAGAAGCCTTTTGTGATGATATAATTCTAAAGAGTGGGAATTCAGTTATATAATGGTATGAAGGGGGTTGGAGTAAGTAGGGTTTGGTGGCCCTTGGTCGACTTACTTCCGATAAAATGCAAAATGTTCCGTCAAGGAACTCATTGCATGGGGATGACTTAGGTTAGACGTCACACCTAATGCTTTGTTATAATAATGTGACCTTTTTTCTTTTTATTTCTTTTTGCATTGTTAATCTCTTAACTTTCACAAGAAAGAAATGTAATAATAAATAAGGCTATCATAATCTAGGTTTGTTAGGATAATGTTCTATCTTTCTTTTAAACCCATTTCTAAGCACCAAAGTGGACTAATTAAATTAAAGAAACGTGATTAAAGGGTTGGTTTACTTTTAATTTGTTCTGTGGCTTTGTGAATAGACCTTTCACCATCTCTTTAATGATGGATTGCGAGTTAAGAAAAGATTAACATGTTATGCTTATAAAAGCTATGATTAATGCCAACGAGAATCCAAAGATAATCATAATAGACATAAAATATGTGAAAGATGGTACATTTGAAATTTTGTAGTCTTAGCACCCTAAGCCCTTATTACATACATATGGAAATGTGTTGATACTCCAAATTAGTCAGCCTGCAATACTCCCATAAAGAAATATAGGAGAGAATAACAATAAAAATGAGTACGTAATGACTTTTTAAGAGTGCAAATAACATTTTCCTAATAGAAATCTGAGTTTTATTGATTTAGTATTGACATCACGCTTAAACAAGTTGGAGGTGATCTCCCTTTCACGACCCTGAATGCAAGGGTAGAGAAGTAGCAAGCCAAACTTTTTATTGGCATGGACAAGTAAAAAATTCTCAGCGTTGAGAGAGATTTGAAATTATATAAGTAACTTAGTACAACATGGTAAATTTCATTGAGAGGAATCAAAGCTCTAACATGTTGTCTTCAATGAACACAAAGTTCATATACAAAAGTAAAATAGAAATAAGTTTAGAATCGAAGCAATAAAATCGTAAGAAGTCAAGAGAACAAATTTGCAATTAACCCTAAATTCAAATACAAAGAAAAAAAAAAGTCTCAATGTTGGTTACTAGTTAGCATGAAAAGAACGTAAACCTTACTAATATTGTTTCTAGTTCTGGTTAATCTTTTTATTCTTGTCCGAGTGCAAACATAGGTCAAAGTGGGTTTGGTCTTTGGAGATGAGAAGTCACATTCTCTGAGCAAAACGGTTCACCTAACAAAGTGAGCATTAGACGTTATGGGCATGATTTTTTGTTCATGCATGAGATGAGTCATGACCCAAATAAAAAATGTGGGTCCATCTCACCACATGTCACTTTTTCATATGTGAAAAATAGGGTTTGACTACTTTGGTTTTGGCAAGGGTTGTTGGAGGCGATATGGTTCCACCAACTGCCTGTGTTAGGGAATCTGGTTAGTAAACAATTGGCCAGGGAAAAGAATTATGATATGAATCGCAAGTGTTTTGAGGGAGATAGTTGAAGAATTAGAATTAAGATAGGTTCACTGTTTGATTCTATCAACATAAATGAAAAAAATAAAATAAAATAATACAATACAGTGTTTAAACAGATAAAAAAATTATTGAACTTATCTACCTGCGAATTTGGTGATTGCACGTATCCATAGTTTTACTTTTAAAGTTTATACTCAACGAAAGAGAGAGTTTTCCAGTTTTTCTCAAACTTTTAGAGCACAAACTTCAGATTTACTTCAGAGTTCTTGAGAATTATTGCACATGTAATAATGCAATGACATTTTTTTTCTTTTCTAGAATCGTACTTTGAAACATAGCTAATTCTTTCGTAAAGAATAATATTCGCATCCCATAACGGTTCATTATGAAAATGTTACTTGGTACCTACATCATTAATTTGTTTCGTTCATTCGATAATTAAGGGATCTCAGATTTTAATAATTTTTTGTAAGTAGGATCTTTAAGTGCTGATTAAGAATTTGAACGATTCCAAGTATGAAATTTGTACGTGTCATGAAATAAACTAAAAGTGGACAAGTTCCAAAACAAATCCTGAAAAATCTCCAATGCCATAATGCACACCTAATCCTTAACTAAAATCTCAACGTAAAAAAGCATTCAATCTCTTTTCTGGTTGTGTTTTTCTTTCAATTGAAGACACAGCACTCACACTCTAATAATGTAGGCAAAGATTACAAAATTTCTTTTTACAAGTTAGAGGGTTTTTGGGAGGTCATCGGCATGGTAATCTACGTCCTAAAATATATAGAAACTTTACCAAGTCTAGTGATACTTCTTCAAATGTTGGCAGATGTTTCAAGTTTGTAGTCGCTTATGCCGTGAATACGAAAAACGAAAAACAATGGAAACTTGATTAGGATTCCATTTTTTTTTCTTTACAAGGAAGACTAAATGTCACATATATAAGAAATAAGATCTCAAAAATGAACTTAAAGTCTTAGAGTTAGGTGACAAGATACATCAAGAGACTGAAATATTTTCTAGTACAAGTAGCTCAATTTATCCAAACTTGTAGCCTACGTACATAACCAGCTTCGAGCCTTCCAGCAACTTGTACAAGTACCAAAGTGACGGAACCCATTGAATGTTCACCCCACCCCCCCCCCCCCCTCCCTCCCAAACGATGGGCGAGAATCTCACCAAGTATGCAGGGAAAGTCCGAGTGAGCATACACAAATGTTCCTGCAAACGAAAGGGAAGGAGAGAGATTATTACTATGAAGGTACCCAAAGCACAGATAATTGTTTAACTAGAATGCTTGAACAAGCTAACAATTGTTTGCTTATATCATGCCTGATCAATAATATTGCAAGTTGGCTGCCAAACATTTGATCCCACTCTCTAGGTAAATCAACGAAGTTCAAAAACTCATTCAGCCTAATATAGTAAATTTGTCTACCACTCTCTAGCAACCAAATTATTCTAGAAGATCAAGGCAACCCGTACTTTTTAACTACACTTTTCCTGAATCATTATCCCGAGGTCCAGAACATCTCACAGCTTTCCTGTTGGTATGGTTAATAGTTTGGAATCCAAGGAGAGATGCTAAGTTGCTATGCAAAGTGCAAACAGAGACGTGTCGATCAAATAAATTCATGGCATTGAGAGAGGCTAAATGCGACGACCTCCATTCAACAACTTTAGGTCAATGGGTAAAAAATAACGGACTTTACTTTCAATCTATGTAATTAAACTTCTGGATGAAGACACTAGCCATTTACAGTACATATCTAATTAGAAGTAGTTTAAACAATGCAGAAGTTACTGCAGAAATTTTGGTACCATATTACTATGCATATTCTAGTGAACCAACTAATGCTCCATCACTGAAAGAACTAATCATCTGACTAACAAAATGTTTATTACAAAGCTAAACAAACATCAAAAGGGTATACCACATAGCTAGTTACATTAGTTTCAAACAAGCAGAACATGATTTAAAGAGAGGACATACCTACACAAATATGATGTGAAGACAATGCTGAAATTTCACCGTGCCAGCCAAATTTCAGTTTGTATCATTGACAACTGTGTTATCTTCCTCGACGCTAGAATTCAATTCTGTACATTTATCACCCAACTTAGAACTTTCTGTTTTTGGCACTTTAACAAATTGTTTACCACGTGCCACACGAATTCGTCTTCCCATAAGCAGCTGCAGGAAACAAAAGTTTCCAAGGGGACATCTTCATTTTAATATAGATTACTAAAAGTCTGTATAGAATGCGGTTGAGAATTTTAACTTTTCATGCCCTAGACATTATTTGAACACATAATTTAAATTGAATCAGAACAATCATCAAACAGAAAATTACCTTCCCGTGTGAGCTGCCTCAGCCTCGGCCTTGGTTTTGAAGCCCACAAATCCATATCCTGCGGACATTCTCAGGTTATTTTGGAATACAATTTCTGCGGTAACAACATTATAATCCTCTGACTTAAAGAGCACCTTGAGATCTTTAGATCTTGCTTCATATGGCAGATTTTCCACATACAAATTGAAAGTTATTGGCTTGGGTTCCGAAGAAGGGGGAGGAATCTTCGTCTTTTTTGGCCTGGCATAAGCCATCTTTATGACACGACCCTCCATTTCTTATAAGGCATTCCAAATACGAGAAAATCACAATATGGGAGGGAAGCCGCATAAATAAATATCATACATTTAGTTACTCAAAATATAGTGGAAGATAAAACTAATTTTGAAGAACTTTTGATTTCTTTATCTAACACGTTGACAAAAGCAGAAAAGACAACGTATCATGGGAATATTTTACTAGTTAACCCACACTTAACCCCTTAAACTATAATTCGTGTGTTTGGTTCTTATTGTAATGTCGTGAGCAGTCACTCAGTGGCATATTGATCACTTATTCAAGGGCATAAAATGATGTAGTTCTCCAATATTGAGAAATCAGTGGCAGCACAACAGCACTGCCTTCTTCCCTCTCCCTTTCCCTACAACATCTCCTAATCTCCACCACCGCTATCATTCCATTCAAGCACATCTCTTCTTATCGCCCTAAAAAACTTCATAAAAACCACTCCTGCACCTTTCTTAAATTCTCCCCTTGCTTTCTCCTTTTTTGACAATTTGACACACTTATTTACTCTCCTAGCACCAAAAGGTCTCCTTAGAAGAAAAGGAACACGCTCAGTGGATGAGAAAACTACGCTTTAAAATGACAGCTTGGATCAAGGATGGGCCTATGGATTTCAGCTATTCATCAAGTGGGAAAAACAGAGGGTAAAGCAAGCCAATTGAGTGAGTGTACCTATGTTTAAGGAGGATGCAGCTGACAACCAACAGGCTTGTCAAGGCATTTATTCATTACATGATTTTATAAAGATTCTGGTGGTTAAGTACGTGCAGGTTCTGGAGATTTTATCGCTCTGCAATATGTATGCCTTATGTAGCCATTACTATAACAAAATAAGGAATTTGAATAATTTTCTACAACGAAAAATATACTTCCACTTCCAACCCCAATCGCTAGGGCACCAAACAAGTTTTATTGTCATTTTGACAGGGTACTTTTTTTAGCCTCCAAAACAACAAAAAGCTAAAATGTGCATAGTAGAAGTACATGACATCATAGTTCCAGCTCAATCCCTCGTTCCCTTAATGCTAGATTAGCTCTGCTCGTTGAACAAAGTTGATGGTATGTCAAACAAGAGTAAGAAGATCACAACCAATGTCAGAGGTGGAAAAATGTAAATAAGAAAGTGAGCGTGTGAGAGGGTAATAATGGCACCATGAGAAAGAATGAAGGTTGATGAGTAGATTTTATATTATATATTTTACCCTAATCTTAGTATATTTTGGTTAATATTTTGAAAGAATTTTGATATTTTGAATTGTATTTTCAATATAGGACTTTCGACTTCCTCTGGAGAAAAACAGGACCAAATGGACGAATTTTGGAGTAATTTCAGTTGGAGGACGGAGAAATACAGGACCAAATGGACGAATTTTGGAGTAATTTCAGTTGGAGAACGTTCGTGAGTCACTTGGCGTGTTTGTATCAAAATTTGGGATTTTTCCACCTAGCGGTTATTTTCTGGCAATAAAATAAAGGAGCGATGCGCAATGCTGGAAAATAACGTTTTTGGGCTTAAATTGCGTTTTTGGAGCCTAAGATGATCTCGGATGGGTTCGTGGCCTTCTGGAGAAGTGTTCAGAATATTCCAAACATTACATCCAGCTATATTGGGCCAGTTTTGGAGCAGCTTATGGGTCCAAAACGTGGCTGTTCAGATTTTAGGCGAATTTTACCATTTAATTTAGGGTTATGTTTCCTATTTTATTTTATTATTAATTTTAGTTTCCTAGGGGGAATAAAGGAGCTGTTTTTAGGGTTTGTGTGGGGGCTTAGCAGATATATTGCTTGGCCGTCTACAGTTTTTTACTACGCTTTTTTTTATGCAATTTTGGGAGACGGAGAGAAGTGCTAGGGTTTTGGAGAATTTCTACTTAAAGGTGCTTTCAATCATTTTCTTAATAATATTTTCTATGATTTCAATTATGAATATGCGTAACTAATTTCTTTTGCTAGGGCGAAGCCTTGAGCCTTAGCATGAATATGTGATTTTTATTTAATTGCTTATGATTGATTGCGTGCATACTTTGAATTGTTAATTACCGGGATAAAAACTATTTAATTGTCTTAATGCCTGATCACCATTAGGATCTTTAGAAAAGTAATTTGATACAATTTTGGTCGGAAGGTTCCCTGAAATTGACGTTGGCTTCTTGTGATTAATAATTGTAATTTCACTTAGGATGAACACCACGTCTTAAGGGTTGCATTGTCACAGCCTGTCCCTGATTTTTCAAAAATGCACTAGAGGTGAAGGGTTTTGACTTTTGTTGACCAACGTATAGTGAGAAGTACGAAATTTTCTCAGCGTATTCCTGAAATACTCGACAATAGGAGCAGAAGAGGATTTGGAGTTACAGTTAAAGTTTTACGGAACTCTAACCTGAGAAGTACTTTTACTTTGGTTAATATATATATATATATATAAGTATTATTATTTTATTAGTTGTTATTGGAATGATTAGAATGTGGGAAAGAAAGAGGGCAGTCGGGAAGGAAGAAGAAAGGAAAAATGGGATTGGGCAAAACTGCCCAATCTGAAAGAAGGAGGGGATGAATCAGGAGAAGAGAGAAGGAGAATCTGACCAATCAGGAAGAGAAGAAAGAAGGAGAAAGGAGGGAAGGGAGAAACGGGGAATCACGACCCGGGGATTGGCAACCTGACCCGGTCGGTGTTCTTGCCATTTCCGACGAGTTTTGGCCCATTTTTCCAACAAATTGCATCAAACCAACCGTTGTAAAACCCTCCACGACCTTCCCTCTATCCATTCCATCTCAAATTTGGAGACATTTGGCCTTGAAAATGGAGGAACACGCAAGGAGGGGAGCGGCGGCTTTGGCTTCGAATCACCCAATCCCAAAGCAATTTCTTTCAATTGCCACCACTCATGGAATCCTCTTGAGGCCTAGAACAAAGCCCAAACATTAGTTGGAGCATCGGAGTTGATTTGAGGATAAATTGGAACTCACCCAATTCTAGGGTTTCGCACGGGTTTGAGCAAATTGGAGCCTTTCCAGGCCAAATTGGCCTTGGCCTCAGGTATAAAGTTTACTCTACTCTGTGAGATCTTCAATTCTGTATTTTTTGAGAATTTTTTGAAATAGTTGGATTTTCCGGCGAGTCGGGGCGGCCCGTGCAGCGGCGCGTGGCCAGTGGCCCGCCAATGTCATTCTTAGCATGTGTTTAATGTTCTAGGTTCAGTTTTGATAATTGATTGACGTAAATCGAGTAATTGAACCTAAGTTCATTACGATTCGTAGTTAGGTGAAAATGTGAATTGACGATCCGACCGTTGGATCGTCACCAAACTTTGATACGTTGTAATACGTAATATTTGAGGATTATAGGAACTTACGGATTGGGAATCCGACTTACGGATCTTCCGGAATTGGAGTTGTAAGTTCATAAAATAGAATGTTAACCGTCACTTGGTTTTGATTATTGACGGAGATCCAACCGTTGGATGATAAGGAAATTTTAGGATGTTGTTCTAGAGATATATTGTGGACCTCTGGAAGTTTCAGATCGGAAATCTGAGATGCAGATCTTCCGGATCGATCTACGTAGTGACGTGTTTTATATAAGTTATATTCTATCGATATGATTTCTGAGGTTTGATTTGATGATTGTTCTAGGCGCCGATCGTCATGACGCCTTGATGTGTTGTGCTAGGGAGTTGTAGGGCGAACTCGAGGTGAGTGGGCAGTTTTGTTTTCCGTATATATCTATATAAATGAGATTTTCCCCAGATAATCAATTTAAGTGAAATGCGATATGAAATGCCATGCAAAATATATGCCTATTTATTTATGCATTAGTAATTGCATACATGCATGATTGGTGTTGCGGACGCACAGGTAAGTGCCAAGTAAGTTCATAAATTAAATTATGTAATTGTTGAGTTGCAATGACTCCGGCTAGATAAGATTGATGAGATTGATTATGAGCTATAGATTCAGCCGTACAGGCCACTATAGGTGGATCCGGTTGACATATTATTTTGCATGAGTTACTTATATGATTTGATGAGATATATATTTTGGCATGGCATATAATTAACATATCACTACTTCTGAGTATGGTTTTGAGACAAGTATACATATTACATATTTCTGGGAACGTATACGGGTTTTACAGCGAGGGGTTAGCGTCTTGATAATGAGATGATTTTATTTTTGAAAAACTTTGTTTTACTGACCCACTCAACTTTGTTTTACTGAACCACTCAACTTTGTTTTGCGCCCCTCCAGGTTCAAGATAACAGAGCTTTGGTGGTCACGAGGAATCCAACGGTGTTCTGACAGAATTCACAAAAGTAGGACTCACCCTCGGGTGTTACATCTTAGTAATTGTATCTTTAAAGCTTCTGAACTGTGTAAATGGTTACGTCACTCTCACATGACGACCAGCATGCCCTCCTTCGGGACGGGGTGTGTCATGCATGGTTTTTCAAAGGGTTTTCATAAAACATAATGAGTCTTTCATGTTCAGATTTGATCCGAACGTCCGGACAGGTTGCATGTTAGATATACGTTCTATGTTGGAGGTTCCAAGTAGAATATGAATTAGGAAAATCTAACCTTCAAAGTGGCATGTGTAGATCATAAGTAATTGATAAAAGTTCATAGGATTGCTAAGTGATGGTGGAACCCTAGTGCTTTCTTAATTTGATTTCTTCCAAAAATGTCCCCCCCCCCGTTCTAATATTGTAGATTGTTTATTTTAATTACTTAATTTCATTTTTATTTTAAGTAGGTTATAAAATCAATCACCTCAATTTCTACTTTACAATAATTAATTGAAATTTGGTTTGTTTCGAATTATTTAATAATCCCTGTGGAGAATGACCTTGCGAAATCCGTTTATACTACAACAATCTTGTGATTCTTGCAAGTATAATAGGAGTTTTAGCCCGTTCACATGAGTAGTAAAATCCCTATCAAAAGCATATAGATGTTTTGGCATGAATTGCTGACGATGATGATGGAGTTAGTTGGTTTCTAGAGGTGTCAGAAGACTCTAAGAAATTGCCACTTATGCTCTCTTAGTGACTGAATGAATGACTTTTATCATCTACAAATGAAGAGACGAAACAATAGACCTCCCCACCAGGAATACGATAACAAGTTAGGCCCTTAAATAAGTAGTCATGTGCCACCCCCAATTGTATGAAATAATACAACGTCTCACATTCCCAGATTCAGTGCCCAATATGGGACAGAAGTTAAACTTAAAGTCAAAGGGATACTATCATAGTAGTGAATTTTGCCAATAAATTCAGCTCTAAAGTAAAGACACAGGGCAAATGCAGACAGATATACATAAAACAAAGAACTAAAATTCTCTTCTTATATTTTCAAACGGCAATGAATTTTTCAATATGAACGAAACAAACACAAAACAAGTAGTGAAGTAGATAAGTCGAAAACAACATAGAGTCTCATCTAGTGAAAAGTTATAAAATTCCCAAATTTTGTAACTAGTCTTTCTCGCTGACCAAACCGAGCATAAAACTAAACTCACAACAACACAAGCATTCACAGAAGATACCACAACCCGATCCACTTACAGATGATTCGAGATTATCCAGAGCCGTACGAGCCTCCTAGGGCGAACCCATTGTTACAAATGCCAAACCCCTGTTCCTGGTCTTGTCATACATGGCAAGCTTACACCACCACAGGAAAAAACAGACAAAAACAATCAAAACCCATGAAATAAAATAGCAAATTATTAATACCAAAAAAAAAAAAAGGTCGTACCCAGTGCACAAGGCTCCCGCTTTACGCAGGGTCTGGGAGAGGTGAAAAACCTCAACGTCCACGACGGTGCCGTACTTCTCGAACACAGTACGGACGTCTTCCGGGGTACAATGCCAAGGAACATTCTGGGCAAGCAATCTTGTGTCGGAGAACTCTTCGGGCTCTGCCTCCAGAACTGGGGTTTCGTCAAGGGCTTGGTCTTGGGCGGCGGAGGAGAAGTGGAGAACAAAATTGCCGAGCTTTTTGGCCCTGAGGGAGGAGGAGCGAGAGTGGGTTTGGGGGAGAAAGATAGAGGGGGAGGAAACAGAGGTGGAGAGCGAGAGAGTGGTCTAAGCGTGCTTGGAGAGGTGGTGTGGATTTTGGAGAGAGAGGAGAGGTGTGAGAGGGAGGAGTTGTTCAGTGGGGAAAGAGAGATGACGAAGTAAAGCCATTGCTGTCGAGCTTTGTTGTGTCTGTGAAGGGGGAAGTTGGAAGTAGGGGTAGGGAGTGTGTGTTGGGGTTTTGGACAAGCAAAATCTTGCGGTGTCAAGTAGGAGACTGGCAGCAGAGGTGATTAATTACAAGACTAAATTGTAGCAATGGTCTCTCAATTTTAATCAAATTGGAGCAATGGTCCCTCAACTAAAAATCCAATACCATTGGTCCCTCAACTTATTAAATGTGTAGCTACGGTCCTTTTCATCAACTTTCATCAAAATTTTGTCAAAATAAGTTATGTTGGAATGACCATTGCTACAATTGGGGTCCTTTAACTCATCAAAACGTGTAGCTATGGTCCCCTTCGTCAACTTCATCAAAATTTTGTCAAAATAAGTTATGTTGGAAAAACCATTGTTACGATTGAGTTAAAGTTTGAGGGACCATTATTCCAATTGGGTTAAAATTGAGGGACAATTTCTTCAGTTGGATTAAAGTTGAGGGACCAATGGTAATTGATTTTTAGTTGAAGACCATAGTTGCACATTTTGATGAGTTGAGGGACCAATGGTAATGAATTTTTAGTTGAGGGACTATTGCTCCAATTGAGTTAAAGTTAAGGGACCATTGCTACAATTTACTCTTCTTACAAAGTTGGCTAGAGGTAGTTTAGAAGCTCGAAATCTATTAATTTTCTTTAATTCATTCGATTCGCCAGTCGAAAATTAAAAAGAGTGTGAGATGTAAAATAAGAAAAATCAAAAGTCAGAGATCGGAAGGGTTAACCAAACTAGACATTATCCTTCAAGACTGATCAATATTCTATGATATTTTATCATGCTTTAATTTTATATGAACCAAATAAGAGTGGACAACTGAACTTGAAACCTTGAAGTAAATGTTCTTAACTAATTAACTAATTGTAATCTTCTTAAAAAATAACACAAAAGATTAACTTTATGATTGAATAAGCAATTAAGCAATTCCATAGGCAATTAAGCAATTACTCACACAAGGCTTCGCTACTCGAGAAGGAGGAGTAATTCCTCCCCAAAACGCTTAGGGGTCAATTCACAAAACTTTGTGCATATAGGCTTCAGCCTCAGTAATCTTTTGTTCTCCACATCTAGGACTTTGTTTTCTTCAAAAAGCAATTTAATCTGCATACGTCATATATATGGGATATCATTCTACGATATATTTACGTATATACATCACAAGTATGGAATATCGTTATACAATATCGAGTATTCCAGGGGAAACCAAGCAAGAAGACATAAGGAAAATAAGCGGAGGTTGAAAATAGTCTGCACTCCTTACCTCCTCTTCAGCCGTACGAAGACTGATCCTAAGATGTTCCTTATCCTTCTCAAGTGTTTTTACCTCAGCAACTAGTGATAGAAGTTTTTGAGAGGACGGCTTCAAGCTACCACATTATCAAGACAAAAGTTCAGTGATGGATCAATTCAGAAACAAGTTCAGATATGGGCAGCCACTCTCAAAGTAGACTTTGCATAGGTAGATTCTAATTCATAAACTACAATGTCAGCACTCACTAAATCATCTGGGAAAAGGACCATTCATAATTGTGAACAAACTCACCAGTTCCACATTTTTAGCAATCTTGCACATGACTCATTGCCTTTGTTGGCCTCCAGAAACGCACGTGCAGACACAGCTTCATCTTTACTGATCAATGTTGCCAAAACAGAATCCAGTTGTTTGTCTTCAATTGCTGTGTTTTCAGCAGATGAATCAACCTTCAACATAAAAACTTTTATCAGCCTTCATAAAATCGTATACAAATAAACTTGGATTTTACAACCAATTTGTCAATCACAATCAAAATAAAAGAGAAGAAACAAGATGGGGGAACAAGAAAAAGAAACTAAATCCAAGAATTTCACAAATGACTACAACATTTATCTAAATTACCTATTAACAAAACCCTCTTTGTCAACCAAAAGAGGGTGAAAAGACAATTTGGTCTTCTATCACAAAATAAAATCATGGTCAGTAATGTAATTTTGCACAAACCAAATTTTGATGTGTTTTTTCAAACCTCACCCACATGTCATCATAGCATCTCTAATTTGAAAAAGAAACCCACATTTTCTCTATCTCTCTATTTCTCCCTCTCACATTTCTCTTTAACTTCTCTTTTCAATATTATAGTTTTTTTTCTTATCAAAATTTTTATATTTCCACACTCAATGTGAGCTTCATCTAGTATGAAATAGCAAAATATTGGAACAAAAATATGCATTCTGCTATATGTAAGAGCAACAATACAACAGCAGAACTCCAAATTCATGATTGAGAAACATGCTACAATGTCGAAAACGAATTATTGTCTTTTACACTCATTCCTATTTGCTTAATTCATTTTATTTTGGTTAGACTTAATGCTTCAATTGAAGTTTCTGATTTCTGAGAGGTTTACATTAATTTTGCTTCCTAGCTAATTTTTGCCATCAACATCAGAACCAAATTGCATGCATATACTTATTCTTCGAAGTGCTTCAAAGAAACCGAAAAAGGTAAACCTCAAAAAAGGGCACAAGTTTTATTATAAGTTTTTTTCTGTGATTCTGTGGACATGTATGCGATGTTTGCACCAAGCACAAAGGAGATTTCTTGAAGGTGCAATAACATTCTGGAAACCGAAAACACGAATCTGGGCCTCCTTGGCACGCTGATCAGCCTCGTTCCCAAAATCCATCAAAGCCTCTTGGTCATGATCGTAGAGCGAGCACTCCCTCTCCCACTTGTTGCATTGAGTCACCAGATGCGCACACTCCGATGCCAATCTCTGATTCTCCTCAACGAACTTCCTCAAAGCTTGTGCATTCATGCTCGCTTCAGCCTATCTTACAAAACAATCCAAAATCCAAAATCTGTATGTGTGTGTATATATACACAATTATATGAATACGTAAAGTCACGAACCTTAGCGCGCTCCAGGACTTGCTCCTTCTCCTTCAAATTTTATGTAAATTTTGGTTTGAGGAAGCAAGGAAGAAATCTGGTCGATCTATAGAAACGAGATTTGAATCGACTCGATGACAATAAACGGCGAGATCGTAATATACGGGAAGGTTCGACTCAATCATCCTACGGGACTTCGCTGGTGAGATATAGAAAGAGAGAGTGTAATGGAAGCTTCAACGGCCGTGTGAATTGCCGCCGACTGCGGCAACTGGTTGCTCGGAAAAGATTGGAGGGAGTTGCAAACTTTCCGACTTCCAGTTGGGATTTGTTTTCTTTTTGTTTTGATTTTCAATTTTCTTTAGTGAATCAGATTTTGTATTTAAATAAATATTAATTAATAAAAAGAAAAGTTGACATCGTTAAATTGGGAGTTAAATTAAAGGGTAAAAAACTTTTTACTTCATGGTTTTCAACATTTAGTACATCAATTTTTTTTCGTCTCAGAGTCATACCTAAAGTGTAAATTTTGGGACAGTCTTATACATCCGTTAGTCAAACTGTTAAGTCTTCAGTTAACTGTGACGTGGCGCCCATGTGGCCAATGACTAGGCGCCAGGTGGGTCGTCATGTGTGTCCACCTGTTTTTTTTTTTTTTTTTGTAAGAGGGGTTTCAGTGAAAAAAAATAAAATAAAAATTTCCCTCCAAAATTTTTTTTCCCACCAAAATTTTTTGAAAAAAAAAATCAACAAAGTTGAATACCACCCTGCAAAATACCACAACTTTCTGTTCCAAATCTGCAAATTCAATTCCAAATAAACTTTGAATTCTAAATATGCAAATTAATCATTTAAACTACCAACAAAGTTGAATTCTCAACAACATTCAATTCATAACAAAGTTCAATATACACCATCCAATTCACACTGATGGGTCAAGGTGTTCTTCCAAAAACACTAAAGATCTATCCAAAAAACTGTCCAAAACACTAATGGGTCAACTTTAACAACTAATTGACTGTCCAAAACACTAAAGATCTATCGAAAAGTTGTTTCAAAAAAAACTAAGGGCATATTAAACTATAACAAAATGAACCCTTAAACAACCTAAAGCATTAAAGCAGCATCATGGAACATTCCTCCTCCTTTTCTGACCTCTTGCAGTAGACTTTGAAGTGGTTTGAGAGGCTTGAGTTGGCTGAGATGAAGGTTGTGGAGCTTCCTGAGTGCATCGCTGAGATGACTGAGAGGGTTGTGATGCCTTAGATGTTAAGGCCTAAGTAATGAACCCATATAGCATTAGCACTGACAGATAGTACACTTCACAGATAACAAATTCACTTAAGAAATGAAAAATCAACAAAAAATATCAAAATTCACTTAAGAAATGAACCCATATACCTCATTTTGCTTGCTTTTTCTTCCTTTTCTAGCAGCTGGAGGAGGATGAGTGGTAGGGCATCTGGCCTTGTTGTGTCCCGATGCCTTGCAAACACTACATTTCACACTTTTTTGCCCTATCTTGCTTAACTTGAATTCATTTTCATCAGCCTTTCTATGTCTCATCTTTTTTGGTCTCCATGGCTGCCTTTTAAAAGTTGAAGGAAGAATGCATTTGTTTTCAGATGGCTCCCAAAATTTCATGCCTTGGACAGGTTGAATCAAGTTTTCGTAAGCTTCAAAGTACTTCTCCTTCTTGTACCAAGAGGAAACAAATTCCTCAGGCTGTCTCCTTGCATAATAGATGGCCGAGCAACCATGTATGCAAGGAAAGCCTGTCAAATCCCATCTTCTGCATGAGCAAGTGCACCCATTCAAATCCACCACAAATACATTGCCTCTGCCTTCATCGACTTCAAATTTGTCTCCTCTAGACCATGTAGCTACAGTGTGTGAGCTTTTCAGTTTGTACTCCTCCAACTTCTTCTGGATTTTTGGGCATATAACTCCTTTATCCTTCCTCATTGCATCTCTTCTCAACCATATCCTCTTCATCAATAAAACTCGTATAGTTTCCAGCATGGTAATAATAGGCTTGTCCCTAGACCTTAGGATAAAAAAATTGAAGCTCTCACAGAGGTTGTTTAACAGAATGTCACACTGAGTGTGTGTCTCAAAGTGTGACCTACTCCAATGCAAGGCTGGTCTCTTCTCCAACCATTTATAAGCTTTTTCATTCAGCCTATTCACCTCAGCCATACTCTCCCTAAAATCAGCAATGGTTGTTGCCTTGGCAGCATTCCACAAGGCATCCTTTAATCCTTTCCCTTTAAACCCATCTGCCTTGTAGTTAGTGTATAAGTGCCTAACACAAAACCGATGATTACAATTAGGCAGCACCCTCTCAAAAGCTGGTATTAAACCCTTTTGTTTGTCAGAAATGAAAGTCCAAGCACGCTGGTTCACAATTCCCAAGTCAGCAGCTAGTAGTTCCAGAACCAAACCTAACTGTCCTTGTTCTCGAGCTCTACTATAGCATATGCAATAACCCAAGTTTGGTTATTTGCATCCATTCCCACTGCAGATAGTAACTGTCCCTTGAACACTCCCTTCAAGTGACAACCATCCAACCCTACAAGCTGCC